AGGATAATAATGTGATAATAAATGAGACGAAAGAACAGAAGAACAATGTCCCCGACTTAGTAATAAAAAATTTAACACTTTTCATTGCAGCTTTATGACTGGTTCTAGAAATAACATGTGATGCCTCTTCCTGCTGTTTTCGCGCGGTTTTTGCTTTCTTTCGTAAAAAAGCCACTCTTGAGATTTTAAAGTAACACGCGAACACAATAACACAACAAACAAATCCATGTGCAGAAACTAACGAAAAATACTCTATTGGCGGGTCCGAAATGATGGTACTATTACCAAAAGTATTGCTACTATAAAACGTTATAGGAAAAATGAACATCAAAAAAGTTAAAGCCCAAACAGCCAATATTATTTTTATGTTACACGCCTTCGTCATATGCTTGATGTAGAAAAATGGTTTCAATATATAGAGATAACGGTCAAGGGCAATAACTGCCAAATGCAACCCTGAGGAAAAGGCACATGAGGTGAAAATGATCAAAATAAATAAATAAAACAAAGATTTGTTGTCTACGTATTGGCTCAAGCACGAGAAAGTAAATATGACATGAACAGCTATTGTCACAGTTAATACCAGATCACACGTGGAAATTGAAACCAGAAAGTAGTTACTGTTAGTATGCAGCGATGGCGTTCGGCAGATGACAACTATTTGTGTTATACATAAGACTACAACAAAGCATGCGAATATTGTTCCCAAATAAACCGCTATCATGTTATTCTTTGCTGTAGCTAGAAATGTCGATGTTAAATTCTCCATTCTGTTTGGGCTTGGTTATAAGATTGTAGAGTCTATAAGTCGACCACCTGAGCGAACTGTCTGCAGTTCTGTAGACTGTCTCCAATCTGTAAAAAAAAAACAAAAAAAAAAAACGTATACATTTATCTCAATAATTTCAACAATCTTACACCACGTAAGTAAAAAGTAAAGGTCTCTTTTCTAAGCCTTTAGGTGTATAGGGCATATAGGGCTAGACCTATATGTTTATAGACCAATCAGCACAAGATGGGTAATGTGGTCAGCATCACGCCGGTCGCCTTTACTTCCCGGGACTGCACCCGGTACCCACTCAAGACCGGGGCTACCTGGGAGTCATAGTCATTTTTGAAAAAAGTCTAGCTCCGCCACTGAGCAAACCCACGACCTTCCGATCCGCACGCGAGCGTCTAACCGCTACGCCACGGCGACGCCCATGTACGCCAAGTGCTATTTAATTTATACTCATTTGTATCAGCTGTCTTAATCAACATCCTTACAGCAAAGGTGTAGCGGTTAGACTCTCGCATGCCGTTCCCATGGTGGTGAGTTCATAATCGAACGGTGGCCAGACATTTTTCAGTAATGACTGTAAGTCAGGGATTATTTTACGCTCGTGCACATTCATGTAATCGATTATATTATACATGTGTACATTTATATCTGCGGCTACAGAATCATCTCGATGCAAAACACTGTTGCCAAACTTTTGGAAACAATTGTCGCACAAAGATTGACCACCTACTTGGAATTACATAAGTTCCCATCAACACTTGGACCACATCTTTACTCTTAGAATAATTGTTGAAGATTCTACAGAATTCCAGTCGAAATTATTGATCAACTTTGTCGACTTTCAAAAAGCCTTAGACAGTATCCATCGTCCAACACTCTGGAAATTGCTTAACATCTATGGTTTCCCCATCAAATATATCAACATCATAAAATCTTTTTATAATGAAACACGATGCTGTGTAAGAACTGATTCCGGCAATTCTGACTGGTTCCCGGTGGAAACAGGAGTGAAGCAAGGCTGTGTCCTATCGCCGATGCTTTTTGGTATAGCAATCGACTGAGTCATGCGCAAGTGCATAAATAACGCAAATTTAGGCATTACATGGGTTGACAAAATTCTGGAAGACCTAGACTTCGCCGACGACATAGCACTCCTGAGTTCAGAACACACAGACGCCCAAGAAAAAAATCAATCGACTCCAGAATTTCTCAGAACAAATTGGACTCCAAATTAACACCGCAAAAACAAAAATTCTAGACCTTACCAAGTTCAGTTGATATCACGCTGAACAACAACAGCCTTAAAAAAGTCAACAGTTTCACTTATCTAGGGAGCAAGATGTCATCTACAGGAGATACCGCACCAGAAATATCATTTAGAATAGCACTGGCATCTAGTGCCTTCAATAACCTGTCTAACATCTGGAAATCAAAGACACTTAGCAAACACACAAAACTCAATTTCTTCAATTCTTGAGTGATTCCAGTACTAACCTATGGATGCGAGAGCTGGAAATCAACGAAAACTCTAGACACAAAATTAGACAGTTTTGAAAATAAATGCCTTAGAAGAATTCTAAATTTCAAATGGTCAGATTTCCAAACCAATACACAAATAAGACAAGAATCCAGGCAAGAATATGTGTCTAATTTTATACGAAAACGCCGCTGGAACTATGTCGGCCACGCCCTTAGAATGGATAAATCAAGACTTCCTTACCAAGCCCTCATTTGGACACCACAGGGGAAAAGATCTCGTGGAAGACCAAGGGAAACCCTACGTAGAACTATCATCAGGGAAGGCTCGCTCATGGGCCACTCAAACATTCAAGACCTACAACGGATTGCAACGGACCGCCGTGCATGGAGAGTCATGACCTCTGCCCTATGTGCCGCACTCGACACAAGAGGAAAGACTAACACTTGGAGGGTACAGGTTGAAGAAAGAGACATGGTACAATGCTGCTGTTTTCGCCTACGATGTGTATGAGGGATTTCAGATTAAAGAAGAGACATGTGCGGCAGTGTTGGACTTAGAAGATGCCTACAATAAAGTACCATATGATTATTTAACGCAATTACTGCTTAAACTAGAAGTCAATCCTATTCTGATCCGCTGGATTGTTGCGGTCCTGTTCCAGAGAAAGATTGTACTAAGATGTGGTAGCTGGTCCTCAGAACCGCAAACGATATGTCCAGGCTTGCCACAGGGATCACCGCTATCACCAGTCTTATTCAACGTTTATACGGTGATGATCACTGAGCAGCAGTTGAATGGAAAGGGAAGGACTTTGTCATTTGCTGATGACATTTTGATTTATCGACGAGGGCGTGATAGACAGGAGATCGCCAGCACAATGCACAAAGAACTCGATCGAATTGCCGCCTGGTGTGATGGCTCCAATGCCTATGTCAATCCTTCGAAGGCATCAGTGTCATGGTTCTCTTTGAACAATCACATTGTCAAGTCGGACTTACCAGAAGTGAAAATGCGTGATAATGTATTGATCAGAACCAACGTTATGACGTTTCTCGGGGTGAGGTTCGATCGCAGCTTGTCATTCAGGGAACACGTTGACCATGTGATAACAAAAGCACGCAAAGGTCTATCTGCAATGAGGATTATGGCTGCTTCCAATATCGAGTGGAGGGCTTGGACATACCTCAAAATATGTGCTGATAAGAAACACCCACTGCATCAAGCGCTTTTTAGTGAAAAGGGCGACAGACGGAAGAAGATGTTATTAGGTAAATATGATGCCTAACCGACATCATACCTGGTGCAGAATGGATACCTGTGCCTCAGGCGTTTATTTGTACATTTTCCTGTATTGTCACACTCAACAGGCGATGTAGAGAAGAGAATCCTGTTGCTGTTAATGCAGAGGTCAACGCTCTCATCGGTGAAAATTCAGACGAAGCAGATGCACTAATCTATACAGAAGGATCCGTTATACGCCAAAGAAGAAGCGCATGGGCATTTACAGCACGCTCAGCGGGCAGAACAGTCAAAGAAGCCAACGGCGCCTTCTCCATGACAACCAGCAGCATGACGATGGAGGTGATGGCAGTGACGCAAGCGTTTGCCTGGCTTGAAACACAAAAATACACCCGCGTGTGTATACTCAGTGATTCAATGAGTATGATCCGGAGGGTTCAGGCAGGTTCAGGGCGAATCAATTCAGAAGTCCACTGTGCGAGAAGTCACCTTTATTTTTGTTCCGGGATACGCAGGCGTCGATGGAAATGAAAGAGCTGACAGGTTGGCTGGATCCGCTATCACTACCGACGGTCGGCCTATGGATCATGCTGATATTATCAATGCCCTCAGAGAAATGGGAAAGATAGAGGACTTTGATGACAGTGAATCCACATCACTCGCCAGAATGGCAGACTTGGGAATTAAGATCGGCACAGAAAAAAAAGAGACGCACACCGGACACGTCAGAAGACTTATTAATCAACATATAACTGGTACTATTAGCCATCGGACGTTGGGGTTCATACTGAGGGGAGGATCTGAGCACCTATGGACATGTCCGGAGTGCAATGATGATAACCCAACTAACTAACTAACTAACTAACTAACTAACTAATGTGTACATTTATGTCATAGGTTCGCCCAGCTCTATAGCGTAGTTGGCTAAACCAGACTGCGTGGTGACCGGGTGACGAACTCCTTGTGGTCCGGGTTCACTATCAGGGGTAGGCAAAAAAGCCACATTTCCTCCCAGATTTACGGTATCTATCATAGAATCAAGGCAGAAAGGTTGCGATATCCATAGTACGGAGCCAAAGGGTTAACAACTCATGGTTTCTGGATAAAAAAAGAAAAGAAAAAAGTCATAGATTGAGGTACACATGCACTCACTCATTTATGGCATATGTCTATTACACGTGTGTAAACTTATGTTAAAGTTTTTACTACCCACGTGTACATTTTTGTCATAGATTATGTTACACATACGCAGGCTTGCCAGTCGGAAGGTCGTGGGTTCGCGTCCTGACGGAGCCAAACATTTTTTTTCCAAACATGACCTTGACTCACAGGACAACCCAGCCTTGAGTGGGTACCAGGTGCAGTCCTGGGAAATAAAGGCGGTTGGTGTGATGTCGACCACATTACCAACCAAGTTCCGATTGGTCTATAAAAATAAAGGTCTAGCCCTATGTACCCAAAACGTTTTGAAGGTGTGGGAAAAAGGATCTTAACTTTATTTTATGTTACATTTATGTCATACATTATGTTATACGCGTGCGCATTTATATCATAGGTTTGATTATTCATGTACCCATTTATGTCATACATTATGTTATACGCGTGCGCATTTATATCATAGGTTTGATTATTCATGTACCCATTTATGTCATACATTATGTTATACGCGTGCGCATTTATATCATAGGTTTGATTATTCATGTACCCATTTATGTCATACATTATGTTATACACGTGCGCATTTATATCATAGGTTTGATTATTCATGTACCCATTTATGTCATACATTATGTTATACGCGTGCGCATTTATATCATAGGTTTGATTATTCATGTACCCATTTATGTCATACATTATGTTATACGCGTGCGCACTTATATCATAGATTTGATTTCTCATGTACCCATTTATGTCATACATTATGTTATACGCGTGCGCATTTATATCATAGGTTTGATTATTCATGTACCCATTTATGCCATACATTATGTTATACGCGTGCGCATTTATATCATAGGTTTGATTATTCATGTACCTATTTATGCCATACATTATGTTATACGCGTGCGCATTTGTATCATAGGTTTGATTTCTCATGTACCCATTTATGCCATACATTATGTTATACGCGTGCGCATTTATATCATAGGTTTAATTTCTCATGTGCCTATTTATATCATAGATTGTATAATAAATAAGAATATTTATGTCGTAGATTCTATCACATGCGTATATATTTATATATTGAATTCTATAATACTTATGTAATTTATGTCATCGATTGTATTACACGTGTGTACATTTATGTCAGTCATATATTCCATAACACATGTGTACATATATATTATAGATTATAGTACACACTTGTAAATTTCGACATAGATTCGATTAGACATGTACATTATTGTCAAAGATTCTTTTAAACGTGTGTATATTTATGTCACTTATTCTATTACACATGCGTACATTTATGTCATAGATTATATTAGACATTTGTACATGTATTTCATAGTAGATTGTATGACACATAAATGTGTGCATTTATGTCTTAGATTCTTTTAAACATGTGTTCATTTATGTTCTCATAAAGAGATATTACTACTGAAGAAGTCTAACCGCTATGCTGAATCTATCTGTTAAATGAGATTTAAGTGAAACAATTACCATCTACGCCGTAAAGTACTAAACACTTTTAGTCAAACAACGCGCGGTACAAATCACAGCTAACATCTAACACACCAAGCCTTTTTAATGGTCGTTACGATTTGTCAATGAACTATCACAATCTAACGGTTTGGTTAAAACAACGTTCACGCCACACAAATCTCTTTAAAAAAATCACTGTTCTGTACTTTTTTTAGTCGTTTTAGTCGCCTGACAAACCTAGCTCAGCTAACACGGCTTTATCCGTGTATCCGCTTGTATCCAACAAACCTAGCTCAGCTAACACGGCTTTATCCGTGTATCCGCTTGTATCCAACAAACCTAGCTCAGCTAACACGGCTTTATCCGTGTATCCGCTTGTATCCAACAAACCTAGCTCAGCTAACACGGCTTTATCCGTGTATCCGCTTGTATCCAACAAACCTAACTCAGCTAACACGGCTTTATCCGTGTATCCGCTTGTATCCAACAAACCTAGCTCAGCTAACACGGCTTTATCCGTGTATCCGCCTGTATCCACCTGCCCTGAGTTCAATTAGGAGTCACAATCCATAGCCTTGCTGTTTCATCATCATCACACTGAACTGTCCCATAACTTGGACGACCCCTGACAGTAAGATGATGTGCGGGTTCTATGTCAGGTTTTTTTTTTTGCTGTTGTAAATATCTAGAACCATGAGTTGCTAACCATTTGACTTGGTACTATAGATATCGCAACCCCTCGGCCTTGATCCCATGATAAAAACCGTAAATCTGGGGGAAATGTGGCTTTTCTGCCTACCCCCGGGCGTGAACACGGACCACAAGGAGTTCGTCACCCGGTCGTCTCGAAGTCAGGTTTAGCCAACTACGCTAGCGAGCCGGGCCTATCAAACACACCAAGCTGCTTAGGGCGACCACAGCTATGTAACCAAACAGCACCAGGCTCTAGAGTTTCCTGTCTTACGACACCAAGAAGAATCGTAAATACAGACAGTAAAGACACTAAATCTGCGTCTGTTGCTCGGGCATTGCGAATGTGCTTGGTAATTCCGTGGTACCAGGTTCAATTATAGCTGCAAGCGATTTGACAGCAGATCGCTCTGACTTAATTTAAACAGTCTTATCGAAGCCCGACCGTACAGTAGCAATGGCAATCTACTGAAAGTAAAACTGCCTAGAGAAATCGCATACAGCAAAACATGCTACGGCTGGTTCTGCAAAGTTCTGTAACGAACTCACAACTAACTGCCCCCCCCCCCTCCCCACCCCACTAGAGTTACTAAGGTCATTATGCGCCATAAACTGCTATTGCCATGCCTTGAAAATATAAGACTCTTTCTGCGCTCTATCTCCCAATGGAGGACAGATCCTCAAACAGCTGACGCCAAGTAGTTCTATCCTTGGCTATCGCATGCAGCTCTCCGCATGTCCTCCCCATCTTTTTGACTTCACTCTCTATCTGCCTTCTACATTGTTTGGGTGCCTGCCTTTATTTCTATACCCTTAGGTTCCATTACAAAGTCATTCTAGTTTTATTGTTATTAGATTTTCCCAACGCGTGTCTTATGTAACGCCAGCATCCTTTCTGAACGTCTTGGTTTACTGGAAGTTAATTAGTTCTATGATAACGGTCAACATAAATGATTCTATCATACATTTTAATTCATTTACTTCTGCACAGGCACCAGTTAACTAATGGTTGTGGTTTACTAGCAAATGTTTAAGTTGTTCTCCATGTTTTCGCTCCATACAGCAGTACTGATTTAACTTCTTTTTCTTTTGTCTACTCCTCTTGGAATGCCTGGCATTCTGCGTTATCGATCTTTAGTCTGCTACTGATGTATCTATAACATTGCTCTCAATGGCTGGTACCTTATCTCTTGTCTGTCTTGTTACATGACCAAACCATTTGCTCTACTGCGTACCGACAAATTTCCTTATTGGTTCTGTGCCTTCTCTCCACCTCAAATCATTGTTCCTAATTCAAGATTTTTTTGTTACATTCTGAACAGTTCATAAACATTTCATTTCTTTCGTGACTATTTCCATTTTGTCTTCTGAAGACAGTGTCCATGTTTGACATTGACAGCACAGAGTTGTAAGAATATTATGTTGCCCAGTGCTCTAGTAGTGTTCATATTCACGTGCTTGCATATTAAAAATGGTGTTTTTTAGCTTATAATTGAGTTGACGGGCTGGCATCTTTGTTGGGTTTATTTGTTAATTATGTGTCTTCTGAATAAATGATCCCTAGATCTGTAAAGTCTTTCGCCCGCTGTAACTGATGCCCATCAACTTTGATATTGGTAAGTAAGCAAAGGTACCTTTTTCACGCCTTTAGGCGTATAGGGCATATAGGGCTAGACATCTAGTTTTTAAAAACCAATTGGCACAAGATGGGTGAAGTGGTCAGCATCACGCCAGCTTCCCCAACTTTCCGGGACTGCAGCCGGTACCCACTCAAGGCTAGGTCAACCTGGGAGGCAGGTCATTTTTTTAAAAGTCTGGCTCCGCCAGGAAGCGAACCCACGACCCTCCGATCCGCATGCGAACGTCTAGCTGCTCCGCCACGGCCATCTCTTCGATATTGGTGGTTCTTCCATTTCTGGAGAAATTTATCATTTCTGTGTTTTCTGCGTTAATCTTCATATTACAGTCATCGCATGATGAATGAAGTCTTGTATGATTTCGGTCATCGCTGGCCAGGGCATATAGTCTACATGCTTGACCACCGGCTGCCAAACAGAATTTTCTATTGTGAGCTACAAAAAAAGAAAACTCTCTCAAGGTTTCTAGGACAACTTCAAGACCACGCTGAAAAACTTCTGTATTTATACTAAAACATGGGAAGTCGCTTTATGTGACCACTCATTTTGGCGCTCCTATGTTCATCGAGGAGCTGTGGCCAATGAAGCTGCTAGAACTTCAGCGGCAATTCAGAAAAGACACGCCAGGAAAAACACAGAAGCAAATCACTAGAGAGATGCGACTTCAATTGCCTGTTCACACTGCTCAAGAACTTTCAGTGCTAGAATTGGTCTTATCAGCCAACTGCAGACTTACAAAACCGAATCCAGTCACCAGTGGATAAAAGGACTGGCCATCATCACCAGTGATGGATAAACAACAACAGTAACTGCTGTTGGTGATGTTATTACCCCGTAAACCTGTTCCTTTAGTATTTTTCCAACGCTTCCTCCTTTACTTGTGTTCGCTGATTTGCAAATTTGCCCGAAGTGATGAACTGCGTTGCGAGTCAAACTCGAAATTCCAACGTACCGCGATCGAAACCGATTGCTGGCTGCGTTGATTTTAATTATGGTATGGGGCGACGCAGGTCGACCCAGCCTAAAATGGGTACCAGGATGGATGTCCTGGGGAAGTAAAGATGGCCGGCGTAATGCTGACCACATTACCCACCTAGTGCCGATTGGTCTGTAAAAATATGGGTGCTCTTTCTATGTTCCCGATGCGCACAAGGCGTGAAAATGAATTCTTACTTTACTCACTTTTAAAAAATATGATGAACATTCGTTATAATAAAACACATCATTTTTTACTCCTGATCAAACTTGGAACCGTTTATTCAGATGTTTGTTTGCTCCGCACTCTTGCAGTATTACCTTCCATAATTTATTCCTGTTAACTCGATCAAATGCTTTCCCGTGACCAATGAATGCGACGTATAATTTAACACAATAAAAAATATTTAGTTTGGTTTTAATTTTAGTTTCTTTTGACCTCCCAGAATGTCCGTTCTAGTGACAGAAGCCATAAATCTAATTCTGTGTATTACAGCCACATAAACATTGTGAGAAAAGGTTTTTGACTCCTACACGAAAATCTATATTGATGTTTAAATACACAAAAAAGTTTATAACAGTATGCAAATAGAAATTGTAAAGTGATAGAATATAGACGTACCCTGGCAAAGAAATTGATAGCGCAGATAACAGTGTAATAATAAATGCAAAGGTAAAACAAAATAACAGTGTTGCAGACTTGGTTACAAAAAATTTGACACTTTTCATTGCAGATTTGCTGTTGGTTCTAGAAATACTGGTTTCATTTGATATCTTTTGGTGTCGTCTTCGTACGTTCTTTGTTTTCTTTCGCTGAAAAGCCACATAGGAAATTCTAAAGTAGCAGACACACACAGTGAAAAAACAGATGCTATCAATTGCGAGAACAAGGCAGTAGTACTCTAAAGGAGTCCGGAATGCAGTACAAACATTATGAAGTTCGCTACTATTGTAAAACGCTATTGGAAAAATCAGCATTATGGACGTCAAGATCCACACAGCAATAAGTATTTGTGT